TAAAATTTGGGTTTTGAAGTCATGACCAAGTAGTCCGTCCCATCTGTCCATACCTCCATACGTGAAATTACATTCAGACTGCACGACAAGCCGCATTTCGAGCACAAGTCAGGGCATTGTATATTGGGTAAGGAACAGGAAACCGAAAAAGGAAATGTAGAAGCACGGAAACAGGACAAATAACACACATAATATGCCATTTAGTAAAGAGAAAAGTAGTAAAGCGCTTGTCTCATATTGTCAGCTTCAATTTCATGGTTCCCTCTGTGTCCCGAATATAATTGTTGATTAATTAACAAAGGACGTAAGTTTCTATAGAAACTGTGGTGCTGCGTCGGTGGAAGAGAGTAACAGGGTAATGTGGTATTATCAACTGAGTTAATAACGTAAATTGGCCACCGTAGAGAGTTTTAAAGCTGATGTATCGAGTATTAGCCCTTCGTCAGAGCGATAGACGAAGGGCTGACGCTCGAAACGTCAGCTTCTAAACTCTTTGCGGCGGCCAATTTACGTTATCAACTCAGTTGATAATACTAAATTACACAATTTTGACTTTTTGATGGAGAAGATAAATTACTTTGAATATATTAACAGCTCGATGAAATCAGGACAATTACCCTTTAAGGCCCATTTTCTGACCGACGATATGCTCCATTTTCTAAAAAATATTTCACTGTACTTTAAAAACTTTGGCTGCATCATTTTTAGAAGTATCAAACCTTGTAGTGCTATCAGTCTAAACGATTCTGTTTTGGTGGCGTTTCCAAAGTTAAATTTACTTATGTCTGTCAAGCAAAGTAGATGCGGCCTCAATTACTTTTTGAAGTTGTAGGCGCACAGACGAAAACGTAAACGTGTGCATTGTCTGCCTAGCGAGCATAGAATTCCAGACATGATTTTTCAAATCTAAATGTCGATGAAAATGTACACCTGCAAGCGATTTCCCTTTTCAAATGGAATATCTAAGTCCTGAAATCTATTAATTATGTAATCAGCCAAATAGATTTATTCTGAATGAGTAAATTATACAGCAATTTATGTTTTTGTTGTCTTAGAAACTCACTTGAATCGCAGTGTCCTTTGTTGAAGAATGATGTTAAAACTGAAAAAAAAATTCATAAGTTGCTAGACTGAAGTGGAGAAGGTAAGAGATGGACTGCTCTCCATCTGTACGTTTTTATGACGCAGCAACAACATAGGAGAGAAGCAAAAGAAAATAATGGCACATTGTTTTCTCTTGACGAGAAGGGGTTGGGACGAGACAGGGTTTGACCACGAGATGAAATGAAAACCAAGCTGAAACACAAACAAATCCGAAACTAAAAGTTCTTTACCCAATTGATGGCAAATCAGTTCTTTATAAACATTTGCATTAGGCGCGGAGCTTAAAAAGGTCGGCGTCTACAAAATAATCACCACGAAGCCGTAATTTCTAGGCCACAGTGTGTCTCGATGTTTCAAAATCAAGCTTTCCTTTCTCACGTTGATGTCATCAGACGACGAACTTTCACGCATTGGATTCGGTTTATTATGTCCAGCTTATTAAAATAAGATGAGCAAAAAAATGTACTTAATATTATCAGAATTACGAACTGATTCCCTGCCATGCTAAACACGGTCTTGCAAGGTTGAAAAAACATGGAACATTACGCAGGAGCAGAGAACACTTCTCCGACTACAGATAACTAATGTACGAAATCTGTAATTACACTGGCAAGGTTTCGTTAAGTTGTTTGCTATGAACATAAGCGAAAAAGTCTTCTCGAACAAACTTGGAAAGAAAATTTAGTGACTGAGCATGTGGTAGACTGTCCTTGGAAGATTAAACATCTCTTGACTGGAAATGAACACAAGAATTTTCACGATAATCTTACAAATGAACAAAAACGAGCTCAATGCCTATGATTTACAACATTTAACAGCTAATCTTCGAGGAGGTGAACTGAAGTTGAGATTCAACCAGCAAAGTTCACCAATGGAGGTTATTGTTCAACAACTGGACTCTAATAAAGTCAGGCAACAAACAGTACACATCATCAAGGTTCCTTCCCCCTCCTCCCCCCCCCCCTCCGCCCTAATTTCCTTTGTAAGGAGATTTTGTTCAAGCTCTTAACATTCAGGTGTGCAATCACGTGTAAATCCGAAGAATCTTCGCCACGTAAATCTCTGCCTGTGTTATATACTCCATCTGTCGGTCCTTCTCGCCTTAGGATCTTGAGCCCGCTGATATATAAGGAGGGGCATTGGTTTGAGTTACTACACGAAAGGCGCACGGAACCCGACCCCCTTTGATGACTTCCAGGAAGGTCTACGCGCTGTATCAAGAATTCATTCCAGTTACCAAGACGAACCTTGACACCTTGTTATATCTCTAACGACCGGGCTTTAGTGTACGTTTGCAATCTGGATAATAAACCCAAAATAAAAGACCCTTATAGTAAGTTCAATGTACGAAGTAAAAATAATGCTCACATGCAATGACTTCTTTCTGTTATTATTTGTCTATGCATTTGTTTCTCTATTTTTAATGGAGTTACAAGTTTAAAACAAGTTCCTTTTTTTACTGAAAAAAAATAGAAAAATTTCTGAGAGGAACCTCATACACCTTAAGCTTACGAACTGAAAATTTTAATTCTAATTAAAAAAACAATTTTGAATTTCATTCCTGACTTCTGCAAGACATTCGTAAAAAACCTTATTTGTTTTTTTTTTTACCTTCTCAGGAAATCAACACATTAGCCAAGCTACGTAGACAAGATTCAGAGACGTTTATGCTAGATTCCATACGACAGCCCTGAAATACAAAGACTATTTTAAAGGCCGTATTTTAAAATAGGGAGACCTGAACCTGCAATATGGAACATAAGAGTTGTCTATGAATGACCTTTGGACTACTGGGATTGTAAATCGAAACAAAATAAAAGAATGGAGCTGGGATCAGCAAAAAAAAGTTTAATATGAGCATAGTCTGGGCGAGGAAATGGAATTTAGACCTCACCATTTTTTTTTTTTTTAAGGACCCTCTTTTCACCGTGCATGAACAGAATTGTCGTATTTTTTAAAACTAGACACATTTTGCTATCTCTTTCTAAAAGAAAGCTCCCGTTCCCTGTAGCTGAGCTGTAGGCTCAAAAAAGGGTCACATTTTTCAAAACTCAAAAAGTCTCTTTAGAGTTCAAGGCACTTCTATTGATACCGCTCCAAATTCTATTTCAATAGTTACTTTCTACTTTTTAGAGTTATCACTACTAGTTCTCGGATCCGCAAAGGGCGATTGTCTGCTTGCTTTTCGACGTCTTCTTTCTCGTTTTAGATCATGATGACAACCACAGCTAACAGAAAACAAACGAAGAAACTGCTTCCCGCAGTCAGGTCCCCAGCGCTGGGATCAATGGAGCTTAGAGTTGTTGTTTTCCTTGGAGTTGTTGTTTTCGATGATTCGACTGTCAAACAGGATGTTTTAAATGTAACAAATAATGTTGTCCTTAGCATAATTTAACATATGACTTACGCAAGTGAAGCGTAAATGTGTAAGGTGTACGTCAGTTTACTTTTAAACGATCTTTTTACAGTCAAGTACCGATGCCGTGACATAAAATGCAAACAGATTGGAATAAATATCTTCACGTTTCAGTCTGCATCAAATTTGTCTTTACCAGAAGTTTTTAGGCGTGGCTAACAGAGGTTTCCACCAGAATCTAAAATAATGAAACATACCATAAACAGAATAAAGCGTTTGCATTTGTTCAGTTATTACCCACGCCCCTGTTCCGGTGTAGCGCTTATTCGAAGAATTCTTCCGCATACAGTAATTCTTCATATGCAGTTGGATATCCTGAGGGAACTGGATACAAATAGTTTCGAATGCACAGATTCAGACATACAAGAAGGAAACCCTCCACTCGTAACCCTCCCCCCGTACCGCCCCCCCCCCACCCTCTTAGCGATAAATAACTGGTCATTACAGTTTTGTACTTTCCGAAGCAGTGATTCAAGGAGAAATTCAAGGGAAGTTCCAAAAAGTCGTTCGAATACTTTGATTCTTGGGTAGTCTCGTTAAAAAAATTACTTGCATACAAAAGAAGGGTGCGCATTATTAGAAAACTACCAAAAATATCCTATGCTTAAAATGTTCTTTTTTTTCTTTTTAAGTGCGGGGATGAAGTGGGGGGGGGTTGTGCACGCGCGCTGGTAAGCAGTGCTCGTGGAAAAGAGGAAGCGAACCCTTTGTTCTAATTGACAACAAACCGGGCGAGCAATATCGACCCATCTTGTCCAATCGGGATTGCCGCGCGAGAAAAAATTGCTTCGAGGATTTACAATGTTTGGAATTTTAGGACAATGTCAACAATGAAGTCTTAAAAAGCCGCAGATGATTGTCAGAACAAAGAGAAGATGAGCCACTTTCATAAACCTTTTATTGTGCTACAGAAACCTAAAAATATCCCAATTAGAACACAAAGTAATATGTTTCCTAAGTCCTTGATTTATTAGGCTTGTTGGGTCAAGATGGCTGGATGTTAGCCACGTTTGTTTTTGCGTTTTTATGCACCTTGACTTCGTCCCAATCAATGAGAAAAAAAGAAAAAAAGAAAAAAAAACAATGTCCTGCCATCTCATCCTCACGCTTGGCCAATAACGCGTAGATACTAAGTTATTTCAAAGATGCACATAATGTTGTTCAAGCTTAATTAAGTCTAAGGGCTTTCAAACCGGTTAAATTTTGTTTTTCTTGTACTAAATTTATGCGTACAAATGAAATCGATTTAGCTCTAAAAGTAAACTGAACAACTTTTAACACGAAAATAAAAACCACAACACACAGATAAACTCGATCCTCTGAGAGCTAAAAATGACCTAAAAGAAAGGTTCCCGGGACAAAACTTCGCAATCAAATCCTTGATATTAAGACTTTTCAGTCCACAATCAGAATTAAGCTAAATGCATATGATTCAAAATTTCAGCGATCTGGAGACATCTCCCGGATACACTTGACAGGACTAGAACAAGTTGTTCTTTGACACATGCGTGATCAAAGCTGAGAAATGAAGAAGCATCATTGGACAGCTAACAGGCAATCCGCTTCCCTGTTCTGAAAAGATGAGAAAGATAGAAAGATAGATGTAGAGAAAATATACAAATCATTCCTTTTTATGGTTATTTGACTAGATAAAGGAATAACGCTTGCTGTCTCTAAAAAACAAAACAAAACAAAATTCAAAACAGAAAAACTCAAACATTGTCCTGCGGCGACTTTGTACGTCAAGTCATAAAAAACTGAGATTATTCACTATGAGCTGAATGAGCTCTACTTTCCAAAGGAAAAGATGTAAAAGAACTTACGTGCCGCGTTACTAAAGACAGACGTCAATAAAACACACCTGCTTTAAAAGAAGCTTTGAATCCCTTGTTTACGGTAGTGGAGTTTCTGTCACTCAGGAACTGAACCCAAACCATGTTCCCTTGACTTAGTATCGATTTTGGCTTTGCATTTCCACACAGGCGTCCTGTCAGGATTGGACCGTAAGCGCCAGAGATTGCTTTAGGATGACCAACCATGATGGATGCTTCACGGAACTCAACATAATCGTTTTTGCAATCCTTACTGTCTTCCAGTTCAAATATGTCGAAGTCTATCTGCACCTTCATTCCCTCAGGGACGATTAAAATCCACTGTTCTGCGTAATTTGAGGGGTAGTTCTCAACGTCGACTTTTGGTGAGCCAAAATCAATAGTTTCACCTTCGGTTACATTCAGATAGTTTGTTTCACCCGCTGCAAGTGAATATAGTCTGTTACCACATGAAAAAATTAACGAAATCCTTAAAGTTACGAAGAGAATACGTCTGCTTTGATTTGAAAAAATATGCCCGTGTGTAAGAACATTTATTGTCAGGGTCATACCCTGTCACAGCTTAGCTTGTGGGTGACACACCCTGTAGTTGGAGGATAGTGGAGAGTCTAAAGCAGCAGGCTTAGGAGGGGTTGCAATTACCTGCCGGCTCCAGCCTTTGAAAATGGAGGGGGGACTTAACGTCTAGACAAGCAGCGGGACGCGGGATGGGTCAGTGGCAGTTGTGTGTCCAAAGCCCAGGGGTAGGGAGGGTAGGTTTTGGACTCCTCAGCCTCAAATTGTAGTTTGCCCGTGGGTTGAAAAGGGCTTCTTTGCTTATTTTTACAATGTACTGTTTGCCTGAAGGCCTACAGGCTTATGCCTGGCAACTGCTCAGTCAGTGGGCTAAGACATCGTCCGCCCTCGAGCCAGCCTAGCCCATGAAAATGCAGTGGAATTAACGTCGAGTTAGCACCTCCATGCAGCTCAGTTACAGGCCCATTCAAGTGTGGGTTGCAAATAGCTCTGTGTCTAAAGGTCAGCCGGGGTAAGGAGGGTAGGGTCTTTGGACCCCTCGGTCAACTGGAGTTTTTTTCTGAGACTGGAAAGGACTTGTCTTATTCATCTTGGTGGCACTCTGTTTTGCAGGATTGGTATTCAGGCTTGTGCCCTGTCACACCTCAGCCATTGGGCTAACACTCCAGGGCTGTTAGAATTTTAACCGTTGGCAGTGAAAGCCATCACCCCATTGAGACCCTGTTTGAATAATTATTACCCACCTGTTATGGATAAGGCTATGAAGGTCAACTTAAATCCTGTGTAATGTACAGTATCATCCGACACGAAGCGAAGATAGCCCGTCGATTCAGAAAAAAAGCCGGTAAAAAATCCAGCTGTCCAGTCGACGTTGAGGATATATCCTTGTAAATAGTTGTAACTATATCGTCCACATAATTTAGTCCGCAGGTGCAAATAGCTGTAGGTAGTTTCTCTTTGAAGATAGTCGCACTTACAATCAGAGCACATTTCTACATCAACCCTGGAAAAAATATCACAAACCGATACTATTGGTTTTCAGTTCTTACCAACGCTAAGGACAAATTGAAGTTTAATCTACTGGAGAAGATAAATAACTTTGAATATATTTACATTTTTATCCCTTGCCTGAATATGTTGAGCCTTAAAAGTCCCATTACAGGATTGATTGATTATTAATATAATTGAAAAGAATAAAGAACAATTTGGTCTGAAATCATACGAGTGATTCCAAAATCGAACGGGCGCACAGCACAAGTATGATTTCAGACCAAAATTGTACGACACAGTGTTCAATCATCACCTTATTAAAATTTGAAAACGCAAAATCCAGTCGCTAAAACACATGATTTTTTTAGTTGGTCTGCGCAAATACTTCATTGATCCACTACTTAGCTGGTTCATAAAAAGTTGCAAAAGTTGTCTTTCATTTTCCTGAAATTTGATCGGTTACTTGAAAGAAGCCTTGAAATCTGAAGGTTGTTGTGTTTTAGTAAAGCTATCTCATTGGCTGGGGAAAAAATGCGATTAAGAGCAAAAAAGGTGCAATTCGGGATATAATGAAATGAAATCGAAATGAAGTGTCAGCTTCATAGTTTGCATATTACTGACAAGTATTATACATGAAAAACTGACCTGGAAAAGTGATAAAGAATGCCAGCATAAGTGTCGGGAACCGTAATGCTCCAACATTTGGTCTCATTCTTACCATAACTACCTGACTCAGGATATACAAGCTCACCACTGGAAGCTGTGATGTTCGTCATGCCATTAGGACAAACTATTGTGAAGACGAAGAGTTAGTTTAAATTTTGACTTCACTTGTCACCCAAATTGAGAGAACCCATGGGAGATTATCCTGATACGAGGGAGTCACTCGAAGTCTTAAGTAGGGTGGCAAGTAGCTAAATTCCCCCGGAGGTAAGTTATTTTTTATCACTAATACATTTAAATCTGAATAACTCGAACCCTTATTGACTCGTAACTGGTGCGAAATAAAGCTAAAGCGCACTTAATTCCCTCAGCGGAGCCTCATATCTAAGGAAATCATTACTTGATAGCTTATCGAGCGAATAAGGGTAAGTTTCGAAAGAGACTGTGGTACTGCTTTGGTGAGAGAGTACAGCTGGGTAATTTAGTGTTAACAACTGAGTTGATAACGCAGATTGGCCACCGTAAAGAGTTTAAAAGTTGACTTTTCGAGCGTTAGCCCTTCGTCAAAGCAATAGAGTCTTCACGATGGCCAATTTACGCCATCGACTCAGTTGATAATACTAATTTACACAATTTACTGATTGTTTGATTTACTGTCATGAAAACTTTGGGTGGCGGATTTTTAGCTCACAGCTCGCTGAAATCAGGGTTATTACTTTATGTGACCAATTTTCTGAAAAAGGACGTGTTCTTTTTCCTTAAAATACTTCGCTGTACTTTATAAACATTGGCAGCATCATTTTTAGAAGTGTCAAATCGGTCAAACATCAGACAGTCTACACACGAAAAAACCAAATTTTGACATATTTCCATCAGTCTAAACGATTCTGTTTGGGTGGCATTTCAATAGCTAAATTTTCTTGAGTCTGTTAAGCAAAGCAGATGTGGCTTTAAGTACTTTTGAAGGTGTAGATACACAGATGAAAACGTGAACTTGTGCATAGTATGCCCAGCACGCGTAGAATTCTAGACATGATTTTTCAAATCTAAATGTAGGTGAGAAAGTACATGTGCAGGCAATTTCCCTTTTCAAATGGAATAAGTTAAGCCTTGAAATTTATCAGTTGCTGAAGGCCTTATTAAGTATAGTGTGACGTCGAGTTGTATACATGCTTGAACTTTAGACTCGAGTTTGCTTTAAGTTTGGACTCGCGATTAGTGTGAAAAACTTGTGATCTGAGAGTAGGTATTAAGGTTGTAGTCGATATCTTTCTGCTTCTAGTAACAATCATTAAAAACTTTCGTGGGGTTGAGGAACTGTACGTTGATATTGCAATCAACAACAAGAATATTATAAACTGAATACACTTACAAATAATTTGCATTTTTATACCGAAACAGTTCGGGTTTCAAACTTACTTGAATCGCATCGTCCTCTTTCAAAAAATAGTAATAAAACTGAAACAAGAAAACATTCATAAGACATTAGACTGAAAAAATATGCAGGAGGTGGCCATATAGACTGGTTTTTACTTGTACTTTTTTTTATATAATGCAGCAAGAACCCAGGCGAGAAGCAACAGAGAACAATGGGACATTATTTTCGCTTGTCCGGAAGAGATTAGGACGAGACAGGGTTTTAGTCGCCAAAGAGAAGAAATAAACTAAGAGGAAAAAATAACCGGAGATGAAATAAAACACAAAATGAAATAGAAATGAATTCGAAACGAAAATTTCCTTCCCCAAATGAAGGCAAGTTATTATTTAACCATTTTCATCAGGTGCAGCGCACGAAAAGCTCGGCTCTGCAAAACAATCGCCCTGAGTTTAAGAAACGAGGACAGCGACGCCGTCGACAACGTTGGTTAAAAGATGAACTTATATTTTACCTACGAATCGCGCGATACTCTAAAGTCATTTAATTTGTTTCTCGCCGTAAAAACTATCACGAAACTGAACATGGAACACAGCGTTAAATTTGAAATAGAAATTCAAAAACTTAGCCATCGCCGTTCACGTTCTCCAGACAACACGAAGTTTGATCATTTCACGTTGCTGTTTTGCAGAGGACGCACAGAAATTTACGAAGATTTATAACACACGTGCACAGCCATTGTTGTGTTCATGAAACTCGTTGTTTATTGAGGTTCCAGTTGCCGTTGCCGTCGTGGTTTTCTTAAACTCACTTACGTTTCGGCTGCGCTGTTTCTAGATTTTTGTTAAAACAAGCATTTCTTTCTCTTATTGATTTCATTCATGAATGGACCTTCGTGTATTTTGTATACTTATCAGACCCAGCAATTCAAAATTAAATAAGCCAAAAAGATGTAATTCACTTCAAATATTACCAGGTTAACGAAAGTACTCTTGAATCCTTGCTAAAGTTGAGCAGGATGTATGCGGTTTTGAACGGGGTTTGCGCATCGCCCAGAAATCTATAAGCGAGCTGCCAGATCCTTAACACATTGTCAATAAGATTAACAGGCTAGAAGACATAGAGGAAAATCAAAATCAAAAGAACTTAACTTGAAAGCCAGAAAAATGATTCAGGCGTGTCGCTCTCTGAGAAATTAGGATGGTTAGATACATGAAGGATGAACAACTTACCAATGACAGAGGCAGCTGTAATGAGTTGGTTGGATTTGAATACTCCCATTCTTCCACTCCGTAAATTTCTTTCAGTCTGTAACAGTAAAATATCAGGATTCACTGAGCAGAGTACGACAAATGCCTGCGTGGTTGGTCAAATAACAGTAACCTTATCCAAATGTGTTTAAATATGTTTGTCTGTAACCTTATTGATCGTAGAAATGACGTCCACGATGAACGTAACCACGCGGTGCAGTCGAATGGTTTCCTTTCAAAGTTTAGAATATTTGCATATTTCTAATTTTGCAATTGTTTGTACGAGATAAATTTTTTCTCCGACATGGCGAGGGTTGTATTACATGGAACGTCATTTTCATTGTCTATAAACTTATTGACAATAGCTCTCGACCAATGGGAGGGAGAATTTCTACAGTTAGCCCCGAGTCGCACAAGAGCTTTATTTTTTGTTCAAGAAAAAAATTGTTAAAAAGTAGCGAAAAATGAGTGCGACCCCGTGTTTGAAAAACATGCCAAAGTTTTGCAAATCGCCAAATTTTCGCTAATCTTCGAAGGAACCGATGTCCTACCTCGGAAGCATCCAAATTTTGGCAAAACAAACATTCATGTTTTAGTCATTTAACCCTTGGTGTTGCACTGCATTACGAGAAATTTCCAACTGAAAATGAAGAGGATATTTTTGAAGACAAAAGTTACAAGCTTAAACATGTTTAAATCTTGTTTTACTAAACTGGTTTTATTAAACTACCTGTTCATACCGCGGGCGCGTGTAGCCAAACATGTTTAAAACCGTGTTTAATAAAACTACCTAAATGAGGTTGTTTAACTTTCGTGTTTAACTAAACACATTAAAGATGGCGGTTGCCAAAAAAACCCGCGGAAGGATTCGGGAAAACCAGGAAATGTTATTGTTACTACAGAAGTGGGGGGACGAAAATATACAAATGAAGTTAATATCTTGTACTAGAAAGAGGCCTCTATGGCAAGAAATAAGTGATTTTATTCGCGCGGCAGGCTTCGAAGACCGTGAGGAAGATGCCTGCAACACAAGAGTACACACATTAGTAAGTGCGTATCGCTCCTACAAAGACGAATGCGAGAAGACCGGAAACGGGACTCCAAAGAGGAAGCCGGCGTTTTTCGACGAAGTCGATGAATTTCTCTAAAAAAAACTATGTACCAAACCGAAGGTTGTGGTAAATTCTTCAAAAATTATCATTGAGGCGGACAACGAAGAAGAAGACAATGAAAAAATTGAGAACGATGAACCAAACGAAGAGTTGACTTCCTTCAGCGGCGGCACCAGCGTCGGCAGCAACAACAAAACAGCCGGCAAATTTCCTCAACCAAACAAGGGTGAATTTTGACAGGTGAGCTTTGAAAACTTTCGCTGATTGGAGGGTCAGACAATAGGCCAAGAAAACGTTTCAATATCGGCGCCTACGTTGTCTGTAATCTCTGACAAAATTTCTTGATAATTTTACTTCCAAGATGAGTAGAGTTGAACAAAAATATTAAGATAAGTATTGGCTCAAACAGCCTTCCACATGATTCATTCATGATTTATTCTCGACTTTAACTTCTGTCTTTAAAGATTTCTTGTATTCCTTCACAGAAAGAACAACAGATGCTGGCAAGCCATTTCTCAAACCTGCTACGAAGAAGCGGAAGGTGTCAACGACGGATGCCTTAACACAAATTGACAAGGCGTTGGAGGCATTTGTTTCCTATCAACAAGCTGCTGATAGGAGTTTTCTTGCCGCAGAGGAGCCTCGTGTTGAAGTCCTAAATGTAATAACTTTCCTAAATGTAATAAAGTCCTAAATGTAATAACATTTGGTCCTAAATGTAATAAAGTCCTAAATGTAATAAGCCTCCAATGCAATCGTTTAACTCCTTCGGTGGCGGACATCCACAATGAGATGTAAAAGTGACAGCTGTTGCACCGCTGACCAGTATACATGTCACATTGCGGGCTCGCTGATATAAATTAGCGTCTTTCTACTTGCTAGACATAAGAAATATCAGCAGTCGAAGTATGGTCCTTAAAGTGGTCTATTGATCGAGTTGAAGAAAATCATTTCCAGCCCAAAGTGGGCTAGTGCTTCGCTGGAAGCTCAATAAGATGGAATCGACTGGTACGTAATCATTAAGACTTTTTTTGACAAGAAATTGACTACAATTGATGATGAACTAGAATGCTATTGTTGATGTTATCGTTCGTGTTAAAGTCTTTAGTAGTGATGCACCATTTTAGAGCAGTTTGAGTGATTTCGCTGTGTCACATTTTAATCCAAAAGAAAATTATTATTAGTAGTAGTGTTACTGAAATTTTGCACATCAATGTTATTCAGTGTCAATTGATTTTAATGAAGCATTTGGGTTCATTTTTTCTGATTTATTCAATTTTCAACCTGGGATATTGCATTTATAGCCCTCTATGGCTTGAGTATTGACTCCACCTCAGTAATCAGTTCATGTACCATATGACTAAATGGAAACTGTTGAGCTTTCTTCTTCATAATCTATTTATCTATTCATTTTCTCCCCTCAAAGCGGAGAAGAGATGACGACAAAAAAATGGAATATGAACTTGAGATCAAATATATGTTTTCCCAATACTTCGGTTCGGGAACTGATGAACCTGTCATAAAGGGCTAAAGGGACAAAAATTAATGGTTCATTAGACCATCAACTGACCATCTTGTGTTGAATATTGTAGCTCAATGGATCAATTTCACTCTTGCGTGGAAAAAAGGCAACATGTCGAGACCTGTGATCGTGAAATGGGATAACATATGATTGGTCAGTAGACATCTTGCTCTGTAAGTCACTTTATCATAAAGCTAGCAGCGCACGCGGGCAAGATGAAGTGAATCCTGTGTTCTGATTGGCTACCTGAGCGGGCATGATGGGCCCACCCTCGCCCGCTCGGGATTCCCCGTATTGATCCCACGCAAGAAAACTCACAAAGTTCGTAACTTTTGGACAATGTTGGCATAAGCATAGAAAAAAATAAACGACCTTCTTGGGTTTTTTGTGCTGCAAGCACAGTTGGCTTTCACTATCGGCTCTCGAAATAAACAGGCCATTCTTGATTCTTATCAAAGCGAAATATTTTGCTATACAATGAATCCTTTAATGATTAAGCCGGGAGAATATAAACTCTTTTGACCAAGCTTGTATGGTCAAGATTTCTGGGTATTAGCCTCGCTCTTTTTCTACTTTTTTATGGACGGAGACTTCGTCTCCGTCCAAAAAAAACGCAAAAAGAAAAAAAAGAACTCGGCCAACATGCAGCTATTTCACCTCACGCTTGGTCAATAACGCATATGAATATGTTTTATGCAGACCCATACAATTCTGGCAAGGGAAGACAGTACAAAAAATGCACTTCCGAGCCCGGAATTTGTCTAACGTATAAGTCGGTGGACTTCCTTTTCCTTGTAATTCGGTTCATGAAGTGTTAACTTCAGCACTAATGACAGAAGTATATCGTCAAAATCTGTTACACTTAAGAGTGTGAGCCAATGATATAAAGAGAGCTATTGGTCAGCGCTCTCATTGCTTTTGCGTCCGTCAATTTGCTGCCAAAAGCACATCAGTATCAATATAAGGTTTTGTAGCCACTGCTTTTCAATCTACGTCTTTAGCAAATAAAAAGACGCTGATTAATATCAGTGAGCCCGCAATATGCCATGAATACTGGTCAGAGGATTCTTTGATGCAACAGCTGTCACTTTCACATCTCAACGTTAGCGCAGTTAAACGATTGCATAGGAGCCTTATTACATTTAGGACCGAACGTTATTACATTTAAGGCTTTATTACATTTAGGACCAAATGTTATTACATTTAGGACTTTATTACATTTAGGACAGTTATTACATTTAGGACTTCTACAGCCTCGTGAAAGACGAAAAGAAGAAAGGGAGGAGAGAAGAAGGAAGGAAGACCAGGAGTTTCTGCTGAAATTGGCGCAGGTACTTCGAAAAAAAAAGTACGTGTCTTCAACAATTTAATTTGCGCTCGTACCTGCGACAGTTTCAGTTGGTTTAGTTTTCGGCTTTATTTATGCTGTAAGTTGAACGATGTTTCACGAAATCTAATGGCCGATTCCCAGTCGTTGGAGAAGGTGCAAGAAAAAAAAGAAAACTATATTGAACTTAACGCTTAGATCATTGATGTTGACATGCTCTGGTTAACTTTTCTTTACTTGAACTATTTGTCTTCTATAGTTGTCTTCAATTGAATATGCTTTTTTTTTCTTTGAGAAGATAAAAATCGTTTTTTTCTTTTAAGTGTTATTTTTAATTTTCCGGCAGAGCCTAGTTGTTCAGAGGCCGATTAACACTAATCCAGGGTTAAATTTTGATTCAGCTTCTTCATTTCTTTATTCAGGAGTCTTTTTTGGGATAATTTTCCCTATTCCTTTTAGACTATCTAATCATCAAATTGTAGACAAAAAAAAAAAGAAAATGGATTTCTTTTTAAATTTTCATATTTGAAATCAAATTTCACACTAACCCTGGGTTAAGTTAAGTCACCTTTGAACCACCTGGCCCAGAGTATTTAAAAAATGCTCCGGAAAATTAATGAAATAAATTAATATTTTTGTGCACAGTCGTTAGGATCTTTTGGAAAAATTGATTTAATATTTGAAATAAAGTTTTGATCCACCTTTAAAATGATGAAATTTGTTTCTGAGGTTCCATCAGTTGTTCAGAGAGAGAGGGTCATCTGAATGATGTCTTTTAAATCTCCTTGATAAATTTACAACGGAACTGAACACTTTGATCGAAAAGCTGAGATTGTCCCCCTCCTTCTTTATGCCTACATCTAATACTCAGAGAGGAAGATGCAAGTCTTGCACTCAAATTAGTATTTTATGTGAACAAGTAGTATGCATGGCTAAATTAGCATATGTCACACCATGGGTTTCAAACTACTCCCTAATTTTTTAGCATAATTTCGGTGCTAATATGTTTTTTTCACATGTGAAATGGCAAACTTGCAATGACTGCATCTTTAATTGTTTCAGATAGTGTCCAGGTTTTGAAATGTACAAAAAAAATGTGGGGGTTTCAAAGAATACCACAGACAATCAAAGTTTGCTATCAGTAATTTTAATTTACACAATTGACAATTTACTTTTCAAATCTCATTTAAACAACTAATTACAAATGGAACACTGCTTGACCCACTTAGAGGAGTGTCCTTCAAAAGATCTTGACTCTTCCATTATTTATGAAACTATTTGCACTGTATACAATAAACCTTAAAGGGAGAAAGTATTCATATAAACGACTTTTTTGAGCTAGAGATGCAAACTCTTTGATGGATTATTTGCCTGTGAGAGATGCTTATGTTGAACACTCATGTTCAAGTGATGCATGTGACAATGAATATTTATATTAAGAATCTTTTAATTGCATCTTTTATTGCAACAGCATTTGTGTTCTGCCTTTGGTTTGGATCACCTGGACAAACTCCAGCATAAATGTGAATATCATTGAGCCATTGGTCATCAAAAGACTCGTTTCGCATCTCACAATAATTATGTAAAACACAACACGCTGCGATGACATTGCAGGCATTTTCATCTTTTAAGTCCAGTCTCTTCCCAATGCTTCTGAACCTTCCCTTCAATCGACCAAAGGCATTTTCAACAACTACTCTAGTCGTTTTAGTAGCTGTGTTTTATGTTGAAACTGCGTTCCTCCGAGGTCAGATTTCCACGATCAATATATGGTTTCATCAGCCAATTGCTGAGAGCATAAGCTGAGTCACCTAATATCAGGGGAGGAGCTTGTACACCAGATATCATCACCGACATGTCGAACGGAAGAAAAGCTCTGGCACAAAACAAGGCAAACAATGGATAGTTCTTGAAGACACGTGCGTCGTGTACTTTACCCGGCCATCCAACACATATATCAAGAAATAGATAATTACAATCTACTAGCCCCTGAAGGATTCATGAGTGGAATCCCTTCCTGTTAACATAATCATCTGGACTTTGCGGAGGTCCAATGACTGGGACATGGCAACCATCGACTGCTGCAACCACCTGGGGAAAGCCCGCGCGACTTTTAAAACCTTCAATTTTTTCTTGGACTTCATGTTGATTTTGGGGAACGTTTATATAATTGGGAAGAAGAACGTTCACTATCACCTCGCATACCTGTCGCACAATACCACAAACAGTGGATTTTCCGACACCAAATAGATTTCTGATCGTTCCAAAAGTGAGCCGTGTCCGCAAGCCAATATAATGTTATGGCAACTCGATGACGCACTGTAATGGCTTTCCTGTAATTGGTGTCCCTTTTAGAGATATGTGGCGAAAGTTCTCGGCAAAGGCGATTAAATGCTTCTTTAGACATGCGAAAGTTCACATTCCAGTCCTTTTCTTCCCAATCTTGGCAAGTCTCTTCCCAAAATATCTGCGACCGGGGTTTTAGCCAAATACGGCGAACAGGAAGATGTCGGAGAAGAAATCGAAGCAAAAAACGAAAAAACAATGATGAAACGAGACGTCTCCGACGGACATAACGATTAAACCGTCTCTCTGCGTTTCTCTGCCGGTTTTGTGTAATTCTGAGGTTTTCCCTCAGCCGTGACTGCGCCAACAACAGCAGGATATTGTGATTTAAACTGACCGCCATTTTGATTGCGTCTTTAATTTTGTTAGCAACAATTAACATCAAAACGAGGCTGTGCAATACCTAACCCAGTCTGCAGTGTGAACGGTTCTTGAGCAACACATGTTTTATAAAACCATGTTTAAAAACCTACGTTTAATGAAACTTGTTTAAATTGGTGTGAACAGGGCATAAGTCGCTTTATTACTCAAAGAGTTTTTCATATTCCAGAGATTCACTGCTGCCAAGATACTCGTCCTAACTCGCAAATTTCTTTATGACATTGCAAAGGTCACTGTCGCGGTAGGAAAATTTCCCACACACACACACAAATAGTAAACAAGTCAGACAGTTATGGTTACTCACAGACTCAGAGTCAATCGAAAATTACAAGGTTTCGGTCATTTTCTTAAACGCGAAATTCCAACAATTGCAAAAATCCTCATTCCGTACGTATCTCAAATGGATCGGCTGAACTGTTTACATGAGAAGAAATTTACTTGAAACTGCTGACTGATCGCTCTCCCCAAGATGCTTCACAACAATTGAAGTGTTTGGGATACCGTGACAGCGCCGTCGTGACAGCGCCGCTTTTATATAGATGTCTGTAATTCGTACCTGGGTCTGGTTACACTAGAAGCAATGTGGACAATACATTAATTCAACGAAAAATTCTCCTTCCGTTGCAAGTATTGAAGCCAGCACTAGTAGCGCCAGTGTCAACCAAAGCGCAAAAGATCAGTAGGAAAATAATTATATCAAAGATCTTCAGCTGTCAGGACGACAACGCCGAGGAAGATATCCTGCGCTATTTTTCTGACCATTAGATCTGTTGTTTTGCCACGTCCTCGTTGCCGCCGCCTTCGTAGTTTGCCAAAGGTCCCTTAAATTAACGAGGGTATCACTAATCTAAGTAAATAACTTAACTACCCAGTAGCGTGCAACGTAGAAGGAGATCGTAGTAGAAAGGATCGCTCCCCAACCCTGCTATAACAACAGCTGCAATGAATGAGCTTTGAGCTGAGCATAACTCTATCGACTTCTAGTGACGACAGGATGATCTTTTAGCGCGTGCGATTTCTATTCAGTAGGAAACCTCCAATGTTTGTTTCTAAGATTAGGGGCCACAGTGAAAATTGCCAGACTTTGACATCATATGCTTTTGAGTTTATATAATTCTTCTGTCATAATCGAATCATTCATTAATTGTTCTTTTTAACGAATCATTTCCACATTTAATCCATTATGTTTTGATTGAAGAGATTCTTCGTGACAAACTGAATGGCTGAACTAAAAAAAAAAAAAATCGGGATTAAAACACTTTCCCAATACTTCTGATACTGGTGGCTTGACAAATGGTATTTACGACTGGGCTTCGTTCAAACTCTGAAAATTGCTGCGATGTTAAGTTGACTCTAAACCCTAGCGGGTTGGCCGAATTTTTTTTTTTAAAGTCGAAATCTTAAAACGCGCGCGAATAGACGTGAACTCTCTAGCGGCCTTTGCGCAACAAACAGCTTTACCGGGAGATCCTATTTCAACTCAACTTTGTTTACATTCTCGTTTGAATCCTTTATTTTTGGAGAGTACACGCAAAAAAAAAAAAAAGAAAAAAACTCAAAGATGCACACAATGTTGCTCAAGTTTTATTAAGTCTGAGGGCTTTCAAACCGGTTAAATTTTGTTTCATTGTACTAAATTTATGCAGATGAAAAAAAAAAAGCACAACGCACAGATGAATTCGATCCGATGAGAGATAAAAATGATCTAAAAGAAAGATTCCTGGGACAAAACTTTACACAAAATCCTTGATATTTAAATTTTTAAGTCGACAATAAGAGTTTACCAAAATGAATATAATTCAAAACTTCAGCGAACAAAAGACATCTCCTGGATACACTTGACAGGACTACAGCAAGTTGTTCTTTGACACATGCACGATCAAAGCTGAGAGAAAAAGAAGCACCGTTGGACGGCTTACAGGCAATCCGCTTCCCTGTGCTGAAAAAATGAGAAAGATTGAAAGATAGATGTAAAGACAACATACAAATCATTCCTTTTTATGGTTAGTTGACAAGAGGGGAAAAACGTTTGCTGTCTCTAAAAAAAAAAAAGACAAAATTAAAAAACAAACAAACAAACAAAAAAACTCAAACATTGTCCTGCGGCGATCATATCAAGTCATAAAACACTGAGATTATTTACTAAGAGTTGAAAGAACTCCAATTCACCAAAGGAAAAGATGTAAAAGAATTGACATGCCGCGTTATTAAACAAACTTAACAAAACTCACCATCATGACACACCTGCTTTAAAAGAAGCTTTGAGTCCCTTGTACACTGTGGTAGAGTTTCTGTCACTCACGAACTGAACCCAAACCATGTTCCCTTGACTCAGTATCAAGTTTGGCTTTGCATTTCCACACAGACGATTGGTCAGGATTGGACCAAAATGGCCATATATTCTTTTAGGATCACCAAACATGATGGATGCTTCACGGAACTCAACATAATCATTTTTGCAGTCCTCACTGTCTTCGAGTTCAAACATATCAAAGTCTATCTGAACCTTCCGTCCCTCAGAGACGATTAAAATCCACTGTTCTTCGTAATTTGAGGGGTAGTTCTCGATGTCGACTTTTGGTGTGCCAAACTCAATAGTTTCATCTTCGGTTGCATTCAGATAGTTAACTCTACCCGCTGCAAAATGAAAGTAGTCTGTTACCACATGAAAAAATTAACGAAATCAATGAAGGTTATCAAGAGAATACGTCTGCTTTGATTTGAAAAACTATGCCGGTGTGTAGCAACATTGATTGTCAGGTTCATTTCCTGTCACAGCTAAGCTAGTGGGTGACACACCCTGTGGTTGGATGGTGGTTGAGAGTCTAAAGCAGCAAGCTTAGGAGGGGTTGCACTATCTGCCGGCTCCAGCCATTGTAAATGGAGGGGGGACTTAACGTCTAAACCAGCAACGGCACGCAGGTTGGGTCAGCGGCAGTTGTGTGTCCGAAGCCCAGGGGTATGGAGGGTAGGTTTTTGACTCCTCGGTCTCAAATTGTAGTTTGCCCTTGGGCTGAAAAGAGCTTCTTAGCTTATTTAGACAAAGTACTGTTTTGCCTGACGGCCGTCGGGCTTATGCCTGGCAACTGCTCAGTCAGTGGGCTAAGACATCGCCCGCCCTCGAGCCAGCTTAGCCGATGGAAATGCAGGGAAATTAAGGTCAAGTTAGCACCCACGTGCAGCCCATTAACAGGCCCATTGAAGGTTGGGTTGGCTCTGTGTCAAAAGGTCAGCCGGGGTAAGGAACTAGAGTTTTCTCTGAGACTGGAAAGGGCTTGTCTTACTCATCTTGGTGGCACTCTGTTTTGCAGGATTGGTAGTCAGGCTTGTGCCCTGTTACACCTCAGCCATTGTGCTTAGACTCCATGGCTGATAAAATTTTTACCGTTGGCCGTAAAAGCCATCACCCCATTAGGCCAATCTTTGTATAATTATTACCCACCTGTCCTGGAAATGGCTATGAAGGTCAACTTAAATCCTGTGTAGTGTACAGTATCATCCGACACGAAGCGAAGATAGTCCGTCGATCCGGCAAAGTGGTCGTTGAAGATATATCTCTGTAAATAGTTGTTACTATATCGTCCACACAATTTATTCCCCTGGTGCAAATAGCTATAGGAAGTTCCTCTTTGAAGATAGTCGCACTTACAATCAGGGCATATTTCTATGTCAACCCTGGGAAAAATATCACGAACCGATATAACTGGTTTTCAGTTCTTACCAACCTTAAGGACAAAGTGAAGATTGATCTACTAAAGATGATAAATTACTTGGAATATATTAACAATGTTTTTATCCTTAGTCTAACTGTGTTCGGCCTTAAAAGTTCCGTTACAGGATTGATTGATTACTGATATAATTGAGATAAATAAAGAAAAATTTTGTCTGAAATCATACGCGTGATTTCAAAATCGACCGGAATTTCAATTACCACTTTATTACATCCATTTTGAAAACGCAAAATTCAGTCGCCCAAATACAGGATTTTTTAGTGAGTCTGCACAAATATTTTATTATTCCAGTTCCGAGCTAACACGTAAAAAGTTGCAAAAGTTGTCTTTCATTTTCCTGAAATTTGATTGGTTACTTTAAAAAAAGCTTTGAAACCTGATTAGTTGTTGTGTTTAGTAAAGCTTTCTCATTGGCTGGGAAAAAGATGCAATTGAGAGCAAAAAAGGTGCAATTCGTGATTTAATTGCACCAATGAGAGCCAAGCAGTTTGCATATATCTCCACTGATTTCCAGTCATTATCTTAACATCAAAATAAAATACGAATCTGGTAATTGCGCCCGTTACTTGAAGAGTTACAGCTCATTCATTTGCAGTTTTATCCGCTTAATATCTTTTTTACTCTCGTCCTCTTTTTCTAATTTGGTATCGTAGTCGGAAAGGAAAGAAAACCCACGCTGGCCATTCAACTTTAAAAAAAAAAAAACGAAGTGGCTCGAGCATTTTTCAAATATTCTTTCGTCCAGATGGTTGACACTGCTCTCGCTTTTTTTGAGAGCATGCAAGCTATGCGCCATCTAAAAAATTCGCTTAATCCCGCCGGCAATCATATTTAAATCCTCTCGGGAGCTAGTACCATATTTCAGAGGGTTTAAAGGTAATTTTCTGAGTTGTTATGAAATGACTTTGTGATTATGCTTGTCTCTGCTTTTAGATGTACATTAACATAATGATTGACGGCAGCATCGAATGAAATTGAAATGAAGTGTGAGCCTCAGAGGTTTGCATGTTACTGACGAGTGTTATACACGGAAAACTTACCTGGATAAACGATATCGAATGCCATAATAAGTGTCGGGAACCGTAATGCTCCAACATTTGGTCTCATTCTTACCATAAGTACCTGACTCAGGATATTCAAGTTCACCACTGGGAGCTGTGATGTTCGTTATGCCATTGGGACAAACTATTATGAAGAAAAAGAGTAAGTTTAAATGTTGACTTCATTTCTCACCCAAAATTGAGAGAGCCCATGAGAGATTATCTTAACACGAGGGAGTCACTCGAAGTCTTTAGTGGAGTGGCAAGTTCTTAACTTCCCTTAGAGGTAGATTATTTTCATCACTGATACATTTAAATCTGAATAACTCGAGCCCTTACTGACTCGTAGCTGATGCGAAATAGAGCTGGAGCGCACTGAATTCCCTCAGCAGAGCCTTATATATGTAAGTAAAACCTGGTTGCTTATCAACTGAATAAAATAGGTTTGGGTTGTGAAGTCATAACGGAAAAGTCCGTCCCGTCTGTCCACACCTCCATACGCATTTCGAGCACAAGTCAGGGCATTATATCCTAGGTAGGGAATAGGAAACCGAAAAAGGAAATACAGAAACATGAAAACAAGAGAAATCCCGGCCCACACAAGCCCATTGCTCGTGTATCAGATAACATGCAATCTAGTAAAGAGCAAAGAAGGAAAATACCTGTCTCATATTGTTTATTTCGTGATTCACTTCACGTCCCGAATACAACTATTGATTAATGAATAAAGGGGGTAAGTTTCTAAAGAAACTGTGGTGCTGCTTAGGAGGGAGAGTATAATAGGGTAATTTAGTATTATCAACTGAGTTGATTACGTAAATTAGCTTCCTTAAAGAGTTTAAAGATGATGTTTCGAGCGTTAGCCCTCCTTCTATCACTCTAACGAAGGGCTAATGTTTAAAACGTCAGCTTTTAAACTCTTTACAGGGGCCAATTTACGTTATCAACTCAGTTCACAAAACTAAATTACACAATTGATAAAAATTATGAAAAATTTGGATGGCAGATTTTTAGCTAACAGCTCGATGAAATCAGGGTAATTAACCAGTGTCGCCCATTTTCTGAATAAGGATGTGCTCCATTTTCTTAAAAATACTTCACTGTGCTTTATAAACATCTGCAGCATCATTTTTAGAAGTGTCAAACATCAGACAGTCTACACTCAAAACTGAAAACCAAATTTTGACATATTTCCATCAGTTTGAACGACTCTTGTTGGGTGGTATTTCCAAGTCTGTCAAGCAAAGTAGATGCAGCCTCAATTACTTTTTGAAGGTGTAGGTGCACAGATGAAAAAGTGAACTGTGCATTGAACGCCCAGCATTCATAGAATTTAGTATAGTATGACGTCACGTTGTACATGCTTGAACTTTAGACTCGAGTGTGAAGTTTGCTTTAACTCTGGACTCGCGATTAGTGCGAAAAACTTTTTAAGATCATCGATCTGAGTGAAGGTATTAAGGTTGAAGTCGATATCTTTCTGCTATTAATTACAAGCACTAAAAACGTTCTTTGGGTTGAAGAACTGTTGATATTAGAACCAGTAACAAGTATATTATAAATTTTATTACATCCATTTGGAAATCACTGGTGGTCCCTGTGATCTGATTGGCTCTAATTGGTGCGATTTATTCACGAATCGCACCATTTTTTGCTCTAAATCGCATCTTTTTTCCAGCCAATGAGGAAGTTACACTTAAAACAAAACAACCAATCAGATTTCAAGGCTTGTTTAAAGTAACCGATCAAATTGAAGGAAAATGAAAGACAAAGAGTATCATTTGGCAAATTTTGCAACTTTTGTTTCCATAACTCTCATTTCTCCCCCCCAAAAATGGATTAATTTAATTTTGAATGATGACAATGAGATCCTTCAGGCTGAAGACCAACATTCAACGGACTTTCCCACTTTTCGTGTACATTTTGGTGAATAATTTGACGATTTTCTACCCTCTCAAGCTCAAAATCCGCGCAATCCCGAGTCCACCGAGTCAGCAACAAACGAAGAAAATCAAAAGCCACCACAAGAGTTAGATGTTTCAAGATTTCTTATCATTTCAAGCGATGAAATACAGGAGCTTAAGTCTGTCGCTTCGAATAAAAATACGTCCCGCTCCACAAAACAATGGATGAATGTTTTCAGAAGCTGGTGTCAATGCCTCCATCTTGAATATGTCTCCATCGAAACAATGGCGCTTGAAGAACTTGACAAGGTCTTGAGTAAGTTTTACGCCGAGGTGAAAAAAAAGGACGGAGATGACTACGAGCCAGAATCCCTTAAAAAATCATGCAGAGTGCCATTGAGCGGTATCTAAAGGAGAAGAACTATCCATTGAGCATCGTGCGATCGAGAGAGTTTCACTCCTCACAAGAAATCCTCAATGCGAAAGCAATTTCCCTGCGTCAACAAGGAAAGGGAAAGAGACCCAACAAAGCTCAGCCAATCACACCTGAAGAAGAGTCAGCCCTGTGGGAAAAAGGTCAGTTGGGTGATTTTAATGGAAAGGTCTTGACCAATGTCAACTTCAAAAATTTGACAGAACAACTGGGATTTCGTGGTCGCCAAGAACACTACGATCCATACGTGGAAGACGTAATTATAAGACAGCGAGAAGATGGAACTGAAGTTGTTGAGTTCAGGGAAGGTCCCACTAAAACGCGGAGCGGTGGTTTCACCATCAGGCGAAGAACAACACCACAGGCAATGTTCAGCACCGATGGCGGAAAAAGCGATCCAGTGCGGCTATTCAAGCTTTGGTTGTCCAAGCGACCCGAAGGAATGAAGAACACAGGGCCACTCTATCTAAGCATCATAAATCGTCCTAAATCAGCAGATGTTTGGTACACCAAAGTTCGAATGAGACAAAACACCATCGGCAATTTAATGAAATCCATGGCCTCCTGTCTCAGGACGAATAAGAAGCTGACGAACCACAGCATGAGGAAAACATTGGTATCAAAACTGAAGAAGTCTGGTCAACCGCGCAATATTATCTGTGAAATAACAGGCCATGCACGTGAATCTTCGTTAGACGACTACGATGAAATAGACAAGAATCACTGGTTTTCAGCCGGCTGAATTTTCAGGATTTCCACCACGTTTTCCGTTGCAGTCTCAGTACCGCATGGAAGCCTTCAGTTGTGCTGCTCCCGTTCCATCCCAGAATTACAAAGGCTGCACCTTCAATTTCTTCTCTAGAGACAGCCAGAATTCTCCACCCCAACCACAGAAGAAACGAAGGGCTTACATCACTGAGTCAGACGACGAGGACTGAACTTTAACGCTTCACTATTTTTCTGAGTTATTGAGGACTTCTCGAATTTCTTGAATGAAACTTGTCTTTCTTTTGATACGCTTGACTGAGTTTTTGACACATGTCAAAGTCTTTCTGTTTTGCATACAAAATGAGATGTAAAAGCGTTTCCGGTTCCGCTTTTTATTTAAAAACCGGCTCAGTACTGCATCAATAAAATATTTGAATTGACCAAGTCGCGATTTCAAAATGGATGTAATAAAGTGGTAATTGAACCTCGTGTTGTGCAATTTTGGTCTAAAAATCATACTTTTGATTTCAAATCACGCGTATGATTTCAGCCCAAATTGCACTCCACTCAGTTCAATTACCATTCTGAATACACTTACAAAGAATTTGCATTTTATACCAAACAGTTCGGGTTTCAAACTTACTTGAATCGCATTGTCCTCCTTCAAGGAATAGTAATAAAACTGAAACAAGAAAAAATTCATAAGACATTAGACTGAAAAAATATGCAGGAGGTGGCCATATAGACTGGTTTTTATTTGTAATTTTTTTATATAATACAGCAAGAACCTAGGTGAGAAGCAGTAGAGAACAAGGGGACATTATTTTCGCTTGTCCAGAAGAGATTGGGACGAGACAGAGTTTTAGTCGCCAAAGAGAAAAAATAAACTAACAGGAAAAAATAACCGGAGATGAAATAAAACACAAAATGAAATACAAATGAATTCGAAACTACAATTTGCTTCCCCTAAATGAAGGCAAGTTATTATTTAACCATTTTCATCAGGTGCAGCGCATGAGAAGCTTGGCGTCTACAAAATAATCACACTGAGTTGAAGAAACGAGGACGGCGACGCCGTCAACAACGTCGGTTAAAAGATGAACTTATATTTTACCTACGAATTTCGTGATACTCTAAAGTCATTTAGTTTGTTTCTCGCTGTCTGATTCGCTCCTGTGATTGAAGGGCTACTTTACGTTGAAGATTTCACCACTAACTGATTTTTGCGCACATGACCGTACATGGAATTTATTTGCACTTGTAGTAATATAGTCAAAATTTGTGTTCCATATGCGGCTAGTAGGCTTCGAAGTGCGATCTGTGGTGACACTTTTGAAATGTAAGTTGCGTAACGAACTTCTAGGTTTTTAAGAAATTAGTCACCTGATCTATTTTTGCCGCGTTGCGCTAAGATAATTAAATATTCACAAAAAAAAATGACAAACGGCTTGAGAAATGCAAATCACTCCGCTCCAGTGCGGAAATTAGGTCTAAATAATTAGTTTTAATTGAGCAACGACTATAATGGCTTAAGTGTTCAATGTTCAATAAAGAAGTGTCAGAAAATGGTGTTAGAGTCCATTTCTACTATCGACTAGCTTGAGCAATCCGCATTCAGTTCGTCTTGAGTGGCTATGAGACATAACTTGTGAATTGGTCTGTCATACTCTCCGTCTCTTGTCTTGATTCTCACTTTTCGGACAAGTCCGTCGTTTCCAGGATATGTGCCTACAATACGCGCCATTTTCCATTCACATCTTTTGTGTTTGGGGTCCAGCTCCAATACAAGATCACCGATCTGGATGTTATCTCGCACGCGAAACCACTTGTTCCTTGGTAACAAGTTTGGGGCGAAATACTTCATCCAGCTCCTCCAGAAATCAGCAACTCTGTTTTGGGCGCTCCTGAGTAATTGTCGCGGATTGGTTCTTTCCTCTGGTTCTGGTTGTGGTGGTGGATTGTAGTGGCCTAGAAGTAGGTCGTTTGGAGTGATCGGTGGGGCCTCCCAGATATTGTCGGAACTGGGGTACAGCGGTCGTCCGTTGACCATGTAGGTGATTTCTGACAGAATTGTTCTCCATTGTTCCTCGGAGTAGGCTTGGTTCTTGCAAGTGGCGTTAAATGCTTGTCTGACTGACTTAATTAGGGTTTCAACACTCCGTTTTGGTGACTCGCATGTGGTGTATTCCATTCCCATCTGAGCTCGCAGCTAAATTTATCAGAGAGGACACTCTTTATCCCAGGAATATCCCAGTTCTGCGTGATTTCCTTTAGGTAGCCTTGGGCACCCACGAAATTTGTACCACGGTCTGACCAGCAAACATTAGGGTGTCCGCGTAGGCAGGCAAACCGTCGAAAGGCCATTAAGAATGCGTCTGAAGTTTTATCGGTGACCAGCTCAAGATGAATCGCACGTGATGTCATGCAAGCGAAGATGATCACTTGTGCCTCTTTCAGAGTTTTGCGGCCGAGCTTGATCTGTACTGGCCCAAACATGTCCATAGCAGTGTTTGAGAATGCCGGGAAGCCAGCTGCTACTCTTAGGTTTGGAATCTGTCCCATGAGCTGGTTGAGAGGCCTTTTCCGTAGTTTTCTGCATATGACACACTTTGAGGTGACGGTCTTAGCCATTCTGCGGAGTCCAATGATCCAGAATCTTTTTCTGGCCTCGTGGATTAAACTCTTATAGCCACAATGCCCACGTCGTTCGTGGAGGTCACACAGAAGCAAGATCACAAAGGGGTGGTCTTTTGGCAAGATTATAGGTTTTCTCAACTCTTCCGGGAGACATCTGACATCTTCAAGTCGACCATGCGCACAAAAAGGCTATCTTCATCCTTCTTTGCTACCAGTTTCTTATCCAAGCTGTCTTCGTTGACATGAAATTGACTCCACTTCAGAAGATGGGTCTCGGCAGCCTTCAGTTCCTGAACTGAAATGGGCCCTGACTTTGGGTTCATTTTCCGAGCGTTGTGAATAAAGCGACCGACGTAGGCTAGAGTTCTCCGTATCTTGGAGTACGTAGAACACGTTTTCAGCAAGTGTAAAAGGATAGGATTTTCTTCAGATCCAGGTTGATCTAGTTCAGGACATACTTCCGCGGCGGCACTGTGATGTTTACCGGCTTTCTTCTCTTTCCGAAAAGTTTTCTTCTCTCTTAAAGCGTCGAGGTCGTCCACATGAGTGTTAACTCGGGTGTGGTCTTCAGCGCTGGGCCACTTTTCTTCTGGCAACTCTAGGAAGGATGGTCCCTCTGACCACTTCATGAGATGATTAAGATGGATTCCTCTCGTCAGAGCGTCTGCGGGGTTGTTGTTAGACTTGATGTAGCGTATTTGGTCTGCCCCAATCGTCTCTTGAATTTCAGCCACTCTGGCAGATACGAAAGGCCTGAATTCCCGTGGTGGCGTTCTGATCCAGGACAAAACGGTTGATGAATCGATCCAGAAGAATCTTTCCCAGTCCTGGGCTTTTGCGAACTCCAATGCTTTTACACATGTAACGTACATGCGTGCAAGTGCTAAACAGCCCAACAGTTCTAATCTCGGGATGCTCTTCTTCTTCAGAGGTGCGACGAAAGCCTTTATCGTGACTGGAACACTACGATAGTCTCCGCCAGCAAGTTTCCACCGTAGGAAGATGACCGCACCATAAGCCTGCTCACCACCATCGGAGAATCCGTGAATTTGAGGCACGCCCACTGCGTTCTTTGGTTTTAGCTTGCGGTCAAACTGAAATGACAGGAGATCATTTATGGACTGGACATTCTCTAACCATGTTTGCTGAATACTCTCGGGAAGGATGTCGTCCCAGCTGTAACCTGAACTCCATAATCCTTGCAGGTCAATTCTGAACTTGATTGCGACGGGCAGCACAAGACCGATGGGGTCCCATAACTGACCAACAAGACCTAAACAGCGCCTCTTTGTCAGGACATCCAGTTCTCCGAGGTCATTCTTTTTGAAGGTGAACGTGTCTAGCTGTTTATCCCAGCTTAGGCCGAGAAGATCCGTGAACCGTTCACCGTTGGATTGGTCGATTTCTGCCTCATTGGAATGCCAAGTTTTGATCTGGAAGTTGCCTTTCGCGAGGACAGCGTCGATGTGGCTGATAATCTGCTTTGCCTTGGTTACTGTTTCTCTGGAGCCACCGATGTCATCCACGTACACATGCTGTCGGATTTCTCCTGCAGCTTCCGGGAATTCTGCGTTCGAAAGCTTGGCTAGCGTGTTGATAGCATTAGTTGCGACGTCAGGGGCCGGTTTATCACCAAAGTTCAGTCTTAGCCACTGGTAAACAGTTGGTTTGTCACGTGTGTTGCTCCTCCAAAGAAACCTGTGGTACACCTGATCCTCAGGATGTACCAGGATTTGGTTGAACATTTTACGAACGTCACCAGTGAACGCCACTTCGTCCCATCGCCATGCTGCCAGTACATCCAAAAGACTATTGATGAAGTTAGGTCCTTTCTCAAGGTAATCGTTGAGGGACAATCCATCATGACCTTTTGAAGATGAATCAAAGACTAGTCGAACTTTTGTGGTTCTTTCTGGCGTAAACACTGCTTGCAATGGGAGGTACCATTCGGGTTTATCATGAGCAATTTGTTCAGGTGGAATCATTGTGATAAAGTTCTGGTCTAACAACTTTTGCACTTCCTCTTTTACGACCTCGAAGCAACCCTTTTTCATAAACCCCCTTTCAGCGGAGAGCATCCTCTTCAGAGCGATGTCCTAGTTGCTTCGTTTTGGAGGCCCTCCTTCTTTCCAGGGCATCTTCACTTGTATTCTCCCGTCGACCAAGGTAGTTGAAGCTGCGAGGGACTTCACGAACTTGCTCTCACGTAACACGTTTTCAGTACAAGTACAGAGTTTGGTTGGTTTGACTCCAAGGAGGTCTTGGTGCAGAAGTTTCTTGATATCTTCCTCGACACTCACTGTCCCTACTTCTATTAACTGAATTTCAGATAGAGTGGAGCCGCTTGACTCGAACTGTCCCAGAACGTACCATCCAAAACAGTTTCTTTTCCCGATGGGCTCTCCAGGTTCTCCGGACACTGTGTGAATATCAATGAAGGCCTCTACGAAGTCTGTGCCAATAAGGAGATCTATGGCACCACCCGAGAGATGTATTTTATCGGAAACGTTCTTCAAATGGCTGTATTGTCTCACTGACTCCTTAGAAATTGTTTTGGCACTACTGCAAGGTCTAGTTACGGTATACACTTGAAGGGTCTTCGTAATATCTTCGTCAGAGGGCGAGGCAACCGTGACATCGATTATCTCAGAAGGTTCGCTTTTCTTCTTTCCACCCGCCAGATTCATAGTGAGACGTGTTGCTGCTCCATTTAAGCCAAGTCGACCAGCTGCACTTTTGGAGAGTAGGCTTGTGTTAGACCCGGAGTCCAACATGGCGAGAACTTCGACAAAGTTTTCATTTTTGTCCATGACTTTAACTTTTTGCACAGGGCAAAGTCCAGTAACAGGTTTCAACTTGCTTTTCGGGTACACAGCATTCCCCTGGATGTTACCATTCGATGTAGGTGTGGGCCCTTGGAACTGACTTTGAAACGGTGGTGCTTTGGGATTCAAACTTGTGTTAGTTTCTCCAGTCTTCTCATTATGTAGGCACCGGTGATGGTTTTTTCTGCATTTGTCGCAGGTTGAGCCGTCTGGTTTCTTGCAATCGTTTGTGTGATGCGCTCTCAGACACTTGCGACATCGCCAATGTTGCTTTACAACCTCCCACCTTTGATTGACTGTTAGAATCTGAAACTTAGGACATGCAGCCAGGTGATGTTTGGTCTTACAGCCAAGAGGACATGTTTCATCGTCAGAATCCTCGCTGTTAGCGGCGTTATTTTCTGTCTTTTTGGGACTTTTGTCTCGGCGAATTTCGTTTCTTTCCACTGTGTTCGTGTTCGCTTTCCCTCGGGAACGAATACTCGCTTCTTGATGTAACCAGGTGATTAGATTGCTCACGGTTTCTTCTTTTCCTTCTCTTTTCATTTCTCTACCAAAATCTGAATTGTCACTTGGATCGAGTTTGGACAGAAGCTGGGACATGAGGAACGGCGCTTCAACTGACTCCAGCACAGGACACCCAATATTACCTTCCATGTCACTTACATAACAGGCTATTGTCGTAGCGAAATGCGTTAGGGACTTAGAATCTCGTTTGACTGCTTTAAGATTATTAATCTCGGTGTGCAGTTCGTCCATTAGTTTTCGTCTGTCTGCGAACTCTGTATCCAAAATGATCCACGCGCTGTCAATGGTTTTACAAGTTTTTACTTGGTCGGTCCAGAACGATCCTTTTGGCATTGCATTTCGAAAACGTTGCAATTGTTCATCTTTATCCTGACCGTATTTCTTCATCCAATGGCTGAACTCCTTTTTCCACGTGGCATAGGTTCTGCGAGTTCTGTCCCATACTGGTACAGGTAATCGTTATAAACTTGAGTTTGACGGTTTTGATCCAATGTTATCGGCTATTTTCTGCACCGCCGACGTCAGGGACGACATTGATAATGTTAGCGCTTCCAGAGTTGTCGCATTGTTAGAATTTTCTGAGGATTTTTGTTCCTTTTGATATGCAGCAAACTTTAAAGTGATTTGAAGGAAATCAGCTTTGGTTTTGTCTCCAGCTTTCTTTGTTGCTAACACGAGTTCGTCTTCTGGGCCAGTGCCTTCGTCGACCAGTCTATCCAGAATTGTTTCCTGCTGTTTCTTGACCAGCCTGTACTTGGTTTCTACTAAACTGAATGCTGCTTCAAGTGTTTTTAGTTCCGGTTTTACGGAGAAAATTGTTTCGAATTCTTCCATTAATTCGTACAAGAGTTTGACGGCATTGTCCAGTTTTCCCGCGAGAGTTTTCACGTCTACCTTCGGCGGCATTGTGAGCGGAATTTAAATGCGAAGCTTGGCGGTAGTTAGTAACTCGGCGTAATCTTCTGAAACAAATTTTGACTGATTCGCTCCTGTGATTGAAGGGCTACTTTACGTTGAAGATTTCACCACTAACTGATTTTTGCGTACATGACCGTACATGGAATTTATTTGCACTTGTAGTAATATAGTCAAAATTTGTGTTCCATATGCGGCTAGTAAGCTTCGAAGTGCGATCTGTGGTGACACTTTTGAAATGCAAGTTGCGTAACGAACTTCTAGGTTTTTAAATAATTAGTCACCTGATCTATTTTTGCCGCGTTTCGCTAAGATAATTAAATATTCACAAAAAAAATGACAAACGGCTTGAGAAATGCAAATCACTGTCAAAACTATCGCAAAACGGAATATGGAACACAGCGTTAAATTTGAAAAAGTAATTAAAAAAATTAGCCATCGCCGTTCATGTTCTCCAGGGAACACGTTCACGTTGTTGTTTTGCAGAGGACGCACAGAAATTTACGGAGATTTATAACACACGTGCACAGCCATTGTTCTACTCATGAAACTCGTTGTTTATTGACGTTCCCGTTGCGTGGTTTTCTTAAACTCCCTAACGTCTCGGCTGCGCTGTTTTCTGGATTTTTGTTAAAACAAGCATTTCTTTCTCGTATTGATTTCATTAGTGAATGGACCTTCGTGTATTTTTTACACTTCTCAGACCCAGCAATTCAAAATTAAATAAACCAAAAAGATTTAATTCACTTCAAATATTGCCAGATAAACGCCGCAAAAGTTGTCCAAGATGTATGCGGTTTTGAACGGGGTTTGCGAACGTCCTTTCAAATCTATAAGCGAGCTATTAGATCACTTTATCTTGTCACTTTATCATAAAGGTTTATAGGCTAAAAGACAAAAGTTCTCTTATTGATTTCATCAGTGAATGGACCTTCATGTACTTTGTACGGTTTATTAGGACCTATAAGACCCAACTTGTCAAAATCAAATAAGCCAAAAAGATTTGATTCACTTCAAATACTGCCAGGTTAATGAAAATACTCTTGACTCCTTGTCAAGGTTGAGCAAGATGTATGCGGTTTTGAACGAGGTAAATGGCAAATCTACATGCGAGCTGTTAGATCCTGGTCACATTATCACAAATATTTACAGGCAAAAGAAATAAAGGAAAGGAAATGAAAATCAAAAGAACTAAACTTGAGAGCGGGAAAAATGATACTGGTGTGTCGCTCTCTGGGAAATTAGGATGTTTTGATACATGAGGGATGAACAACTTACCAATGACAGAAGCAGCTGTAATGATTTGGTTGGATTTGAATACTCCCATTCTTCCACACCGTAAAGTTCTTTAGACTATAACAGTAAAATATCAGGATTCACTGAGCTGAGTATGACAAAGGCCTGAGTGGTTGGTAAAATAACAGTGACCTTATCCAATGATAATAACAGTGACCTTATCCTTATCCAATAACAAATTGACCACAATTTTCCATTATCGATTGCGTTATGTACGTAAACAGAATAAGAACTGAGATGCTTTCGGAAATGACTAAATATGTCGGGACAAGGAAAAATTTCTTATTAACTCTCTGTAATGTTCTTGACAAGTGTTCATGGCTTTAGTCTTCTACTTTAGAAAATTTCATCCTTCACGAGGATGACCTGGACATTCCTAAATTTCTTGGTAAACCGTGTCACAGCAACATGTGATGGAGTACAAGGAATGGAGGGAACGATTTTCTTGGGGGGAGTATTCTGAAAGCCGTTACAATTTTTTTATATTAACGGCTCAGTCAAAAATGTTATTAAGTTCACCTTTTTCAGCCGCCAGATTCAAGCATTAATAGAACTAACTTGAAGCCCAAAACTGAGAGCCTTAAAGAATTGGCAAAGTTTTCCAAAACAAGGTACTCTCTTTTGTACTAAGTGTGGTTCGCCGGTTGATCTGGTTAGACTTATGAGTATTTGACGCGATTCAACTTGTTTGCGTTTCCTTAAAACGCAGTCCATCAATAATAATTATACTTCTTCCAAATCTATTCGTAACTTATTCCCGTATCATTAAGGACTTTAGCAGTCAGGACGACAAGGCGAAGAGGATGTCGATCAAAGAATGAATTTATGTTTTAGTGAGAATTTCCGTCGCGAATGGCTTAGGCGCCACACCTCAATTTCAGCATAACTTATGTGAGCAGCGTTCAGTTCCATATGGAAATTTAAATAATTTGCCGTCGCAAATCTGTTCCCAGACAACACACATTTTGTTAATTTCACGTTGCTTTTTTGCAGAGGACGGTTAAGAAATGTACAAAGTTTCCAGAGACAGGCACTGAGCTTTCGTTCCGCCTATTAGATCTTTCGTTTTGTTGTGTCCTCGTAACCGTCGCCGTCGTGGTTTGATTAAGGTCCCTAAATACTAATCTAACGCAATAACTTACCTGCTCAGAAGCGTGCAACGTAAAAAGAAATCGTAGTAAAGCGGATCACTCTCCAAACTGCTGCTTGCAACCGCTACAGTGAATGTAATTTCCTTAGGGAAACATTGAGCTTTAAGCTATCGGCTGCTCGTGACGATTAGATGACCTTTTAATGTACTCAAATTTCATGTAATAGGAGTTTCTGATAACGAATGATAAAAAACATTTTATAATAAAGAGTAGCGAGATTAAAACACAACGTTTCGGCGACGACGTGTCACCATCATCAGCTGTACGATCGAAGTAAAGCGGATCACTCTCCAACCTGCTGCTTGCAACCGCTACAGTGAATGTAATTTCCTTAGGGAAACATTGAGCTTTAAGCTATCGGCTGCTCGTGACGTTTAGATGACCTTTAAATGCATCTGATTTTCATTTAATAGGAACTTTTGATAACGAATGATAAAAAACATTTCGTAACTGATAGAGTAGCGAGATTAAAACATGACGTTTCGGGACGACATGCCACCAGTATCAAATGTAAATTATTATAAGTTCAGTGGCGCTATATAAAGAAAGGAAAGTGTGAAACTAGATAAGAATAAATGAGAAGTTGAGTACCTTATTTATGAGATGTTTTTACTAAGGAAAAAGAGACCGACTCGGAACACTCAAAAAGACTCCATTCCAGCGAGACTATTCGTTTAATTGAGTGCATTATTTTCATTTACTCCATCTCATTTTTATTCTAATTTAGTTTCACACTTTCCTTTCTTTATTTAACGTCACTTAAATTACAATAATTTTACATTGTATAATGGTGGCATGTCGTCGCCGAAAGGTCATGTTTTAATCTCGCTACTCTTTATTATTCAACGGGAAACCTCCTACGTGTTTATAAGGTTAGGGGCCAAAACGAAGATCGCCACACTTTGACATTAAACGTTTTTGAGTTTATATAACTATTTTGTTATATTCTATTTATTCATCAATTGTTTTTTACAAATCGTTTCCACATTTACACCATTTTATTTTGATTGAGGACATTCTTAATTACTGCAGAAAGAGAACAGATTTAAGGAGATATATACCACCAATATTGACATTTCCTCTAGGATTAACACAAGGTTTAAATTAAGCAAAAATTTAGCAAAAATTTATTCAGTGACAGCCATGCCGTGCACAGCTCTAGGAAATAATGTCGATTTATTCGAAGCTTCAACATCCCTCCGGGTATTTCAACTTTTTATCGCAAATTTAACATTGGCTTTGTTATGGTTTGGAATTAAGATCTTTCGAAGTCTTTATTTAGAGCCAAATGTTCTTTGTAATCTAAGAAGTTTATTACATCGTTGACTACAGACTCTGATGCATTTTTTGAGAAAGGATTTCTTACAGAATGCACAAGAACAGAAACAGAATGGAAAATTGTGGAGAACATCACGAAGAGTGTTCAGTCGTATGTCTAACGACTCAGAGTTGCCATCAATCGTAGAGTCAAGCTGTCAATTCAAAACTACGACGTTGAGACTCCTGTACTGCAAAAAAAATAAATTAGGCTTCTACTTAAAGTTTGATAAACAGTTTTTATTAAGATTGACATGAAAAAATATAGCTAAGCTCCTCTTTGAAGCCGCATATTTGTGCGATGTTAAGGTAAATCCAAACCCTTGAGGGTTAACTTTGAGCGATTTTTTTTAAGTCGAAATCTTGAAACGCGCGCGAATAATTGATAAAATTGTATTTTCGTAAATACGTTGACAAAGAGTAAGGCGCTCGCTCCCTGTTAGACGTGAACCCTCTAGCGGGCTTTACATAGCAAACAGCTATACTGGGAGATCCTACTTCAACTCAACTTTGCTTACATTCTCGTTTAAGTCCATTATTTTTGGAAAGTACATGAGTCAATTTCTCATCATGAACGAGAGAGGATTTTATCCTCTTATGTCACGAAACATGAAATTAAGGAGAAAAATGCGCTCAGCTAAAAGCGGAAACAAAGCCAGGACTGAAAAAGCGTAAAACTTGTAAATTTCCTAATTAGAAAATATGTAG